GTAGATTATGTGAGGATAAGACCGACCAAAACATTAAAGTTAAATATATCTTTCAGAAAGGTAGCAAATTGATAATAACAAGATATATTGTGACTGTTCTTGACATGGAATGTATCATTGAAGAGTTAAATGGCAAACGAATCACTAAAGTATAGCATTATAACACATATACTTCGTTATAAACCACCATGTTCACTGTATAAAGTTTTAAATTTACATAATCCTATAAAGAAAGTTCATGGTCTTCAGGCGAAATATCTCTAAATAAATAAGATAAGATGTATTTGTTTGAAAATAAACCTACATCTACACTATGATTTACATATAAAAGTATTAAAAAAGGGGTCTAAAAAAAAATGATAAAGAATAATATTTCTAGTTTGATACTAAGTTACTGTATTAAAAGTCATTAGAACTGTGGGCAGGGGACTCATAACAGCTTGTTTGCTTTTATAAATGTTGATGCTGTTTTTATTGTGTATGTTTGATATGTATGTATATATGTTTATTGTGTTAAAACATGTTGGTCACAAACTGTAAAGTTTATACGACAAAAAAATATTTGATTTGATTTGATTTGATTTGATTATAAACGTCCATCTTTAAATTCATTGTATTTTAATGTTGAATACAGTCAGGTAGATCAGAAATCAGATATTACATTTAATGTTTCTGATAAAAAATGCATTGTTCAAAACTAAATTGTGTGTATATTTTTATCCTGTGTGTATTGACATTTACTTTGAGCTACTTTTAATTTCACTAAGTAAAACCAATTATTTTGACTAATAAGACTTGGTTTTAGCTCACCTTGAACATTCGGGTCACATGAGATATTGCCATCACCCTGCGTCCGTTGTCGTTTTTTGTCCAAATTCTTTTTAAAAAATATTTCTTCTAAAACCGCTGTATCAATTTCACATAAAATCGGCCTTAGCGATCATTAAGTATAAAGTACAAATCTAGAGTTATTTGGTTCTACCGGCCAACCAACATGTCTAAGGCTAAAAAAAAAAGAACACAATGGTAAGATGCAAGTGATTGTCTAATATCTAGAAAACTATTATAGATAGAAACAATTTGTCAAGTGCAAATATGCTCAGAATGTCAAGATCTTAGACTATCTACTTTTTATTCAAAATGATCAGACGATCTTGAGAATTATACTAGAAAGACAAATACTGCAAACAGCAACAATAATCAACCTGCAAACGATTTTTGATGTAGTTTTGTCATGAATGCTGCAAATATAAATATCTTGAATGAGTTTTCAATTTGAAGATATTTCTCGAACAGCTTGTCAAAATTTTACTATTTTGTGGAACATTTAAATCACGTTCTTGCTTACGTCTGCACGCGATTTAAGAAAATAGGCAAAGATTGTATGAACTTTTATCTAAAAAACTTTAATAGATAGGAGTAAACTGTAAACAGTAAAAATGATCATCATTACAAGACCTACAAAAATGCCACTAAATAGGATCCACAAATAAGCAAACGTGAATGATTGAAATAAAAGAAAATGAATTTTAAAAATGGCATAGTTTTTAACAGGTGAGAGATTCGGGCTCATGGGAGCCTCTTGTTTCATTTCATTGACGTCCACTTTTGCCAGTTCTTGATAAGTAATAAGACTTAATACTAACTCGGTAAAAGAAAAAAATCGGTACCGAAACAGCACTGAAAATATAAAATAGCACATACAAGAACAAGTATGTATTTAGCAGTACCTGAGTAACAGAAAGTAATGTATATTATAGATTTGCATATATTTACTGTTCAGTACAGACTCAGTAGAGGGTAGAAATGTACACGCAGACGATATGGAAATGCGTGATAGTGTATTTTGAACTTCTATTATGAAAGAACTTCTATTTCATGCATGTCATGTATGATTTTCTGTGTGGTAAAAAGTGTATTTCAGTCCTTTCAAACTTAACGGATTATTGAAAAGTTGGTTTAAATAATTTTATCTATTATATCTAGACTTCGAATCATCATTGAAGTTCAAAACTGTCGTGAAATGACTATTTCGATTATCCGTTGTATAATTTTGTGAACAGTAAATACGACAATAAATAAAGTAGTTATTCATTCAGCCGTCTTTGAAATGAAAATAACACGTTATAAAGGGAGTAGGCCCGGTAAGACCTCTTTTTGGCCCCAAAATAAAGCATTTCAAAAATTTGTTAAAAATGTAAACTTTCAGCTATTTATTAGAAAGTAGTATATAACTGTTACATAAGTATGAGTTTTTTTTGACAATACAATGTACATGTATCAGTTACTAGCATCATTAATTCATGCAAAATTACGGAAATCTTCACAATTTTAGCATTTGTGCTTTTTTTTAGACTGCGGTTTTTGTCTAAAATGGAAGTGGCCGCACTTGTGTTCATATAAATAAAAAGATATTTTATGAGTGCCAATGAGACAACTCTCCATCCAAGTCACAATGTATAAAAAGTTATCAATTATATGTCAAAGTACGGCCTTGAACACGGAGCCTTGGCTCACACCGAACAGCAAGCTATAAAGGGCCCCAAAATGACTAACTAGTGTAAAACAATTCAAACAGGATTTGATGATAATACATAACATATATAAAGATTGAGACTGAAAACGAATGCGGCCACTTCCATTTTAGACAAAAACCATATAAAAAGTGACGTTTTGTGGCATATTTGATAGATTTTTTCATATTTAAGCTTGAATTTAGGCGTCTTTCATGACCATATCAGTTCAAATCTTTTATATAAATTAATTGAATCGACTGAAGAAGACACTTAAGTGTTTAAAAACTGTCAAAAATCTTTCATCAAATTTTAGGCCAAAATAAGCCCTTACCGGACCTTCTCCTTTGTTTTGAATTTGTTTATTTTTTCGAAACTGTCCTATCTTTTTGACATTTCAGGTTGAATAAAAATAAACAAACACTATTTATGTAGATTATGTGAGGATAAGACCGACCAAAACATTAAAGTTAAATATATCTTTCAGAAAGGTAGCAAATTGATAATAACAAGATATATTGTGACTGTTCTTGACATGGAATGTATCATTGAAGAGTCAAATGGCAAACGAATCACTAAAGTATAGCATTATAACACATATACTTCGTTATAAACCACCATGTTCACTGTATAAAGTTTTAAATTTACATAATCCTATAAAGAAAGATCATGGTCTTCAGGCGAAATATCTCTAAATAAATAAGATAAGATGTATTTGTTTGAAAATAAACCTACATCTACACTATGATTTACATATAAAAGTATTAAAAAGGGGTTTAAAAAAATTGATAAAGAATAATATTTCTAGTTTGATACTAAGTTACTGTATTAAAAGTCATTAGAACTGTGGGCAGGGGACTCTTAACAGCTTGTTTGTTTTTATAAATGTTAATGCTGTTTTCATTGTGTATGTTTGATATGTATGTATATATGTTTATTGTGTTAAAACATGTTGGTCACAAACTGTAAAGTTTATACGACAAAAAAATATTTGATTTGATTTGATTTGATTTGATTATAAACGTCCATCTTTAAGTTCATTGTATTTTAATGTTGAATACAGTCAGGTAGATCAGAAATCAGATATTACATTTAATGTTTCTGATAAAAAATGCATTGTTCAAAACTAAATTGTGTGTATATTTTTATCCTGTGTGTATTGACATTTACTTTGAGCTACTTTTAATTTCACTAAGTAAAACCAATTATTTTGACTAATAAGACTTGGTTTTAGCTCACCTTGAACATTCGGGTCACATGAGATATTGCCATCACCCTGCGTCCGTTGTCGTTTTTTGTCCAAATTCTTTTTAAAAAATATTTCTTCTAAAACCGCTGTATCAATTTCACATAAAATCGGCCTTAGCGATCATTAAGTATAAAGTACAAATCTAGAGTTATTTGGTTCTACCGGCCAACCAACATGTCTAAGGCTAAAAAAAAAAGAACACAATGGTAAGATGCAAGTGATTGTCTAATATCTAGAAAACTATTATAGATAGAAACAATTTGTCAAGTGCAAATATGCTCAGAATGTCAAGATCTTAGACTATCTACTTTTTATTCAAAATGATCAGACGATCTTGAGAATTATACTAGAAAGACAAATACTGCAAACAGCAACAATAATCAACCTGCAAACGATTTTTGATGTAGTTTTGTCATGAATGCTGCAAATATAAATATCTTGAATGAGTTTTCAATTTGAAGATATTTCTCGAATAGCTTGTCAAAATTTTACTATTTTGTGGAACATTTAAATCACGTTCTTGCTTACGTCTGCACGCGATTTAAGAAAATAGGCAAAGATTGTATGAACTACATGAACTATGAATATCTTTGATGAGTGTTAAATGGAAGAAATACGTAAAAAAAATTTCGAAAAAAATTGTTTTTTATTGAAAATGCTAAATTTTTAAAGTGGGTGCTATTTAAAATCGACATATATAACCATGAATTTAAAAAATAGCCGTGACAATAGAGAAAGAGTGAATGTGTTTCCGGTTTTCACTTTGTTTTCTATGTACCTGTTCAAACCCAACATATTATACCTTCTTGTGGTCTTTTTTTTTACTCAAAAAAATAAAAACAACGTCTAAAAATATATTTTGAGAAAAAAAGAGTACGCTTTGTTTACACTCCAGATCTACGCACTACAGAGGCTGAACAAAATACCCAAAGTCAGAGTTAGGTTAATGGATTGCGTATCAGCTAAAACTTGTACAAGCATAATAATTATACGGAATTATTGGTTAAAATTAAATCCCGAATTCCTGCTGAAATAATGTGCCCATTCCCGCATCACCATATAATGGCTATTCCCGAAATCCCGCGAATTAAGCGGCTCAATCCCGACGTCCCTAAAAAGGTCCTTCTGTTCCTCCTATTTGGCTCTACAATTATGCAAATACTTTTGAGATGGTATGGGTGGGGGGGGACAGATTTTTTCGCTAGGATTTTCTCTTAAAATTTATTTTTAATTCGCAGAGAGATCATGGAAAAAGATGGCATACAACTACGTCATGTGCAAGTTATAGATCCAGATAACCAAATCAAAAATGGACCGAGTGAAGGTTACATGAATAATGCATTTGAAGGATCAGAGGTCTGTCTTTAGTATCAGAATTAAGGATTATACTTAGTGCCAATGCCATAAGTTTTATAGGACTACTCTAAGCCAAAATTTTGTATAGCATAATGGGAGCACGTAAAACAATAGGGAATACGCTTAATCAAATGAAACCAAATATAACGCAAAGAATCTTATTTTGGTATCGATAGGCAGACAAAGCAGAAAGTTAGGTTTTACATAAGCTAATAAGAGAATCTAATTTACCATGTGAAATGAAATGCGCTATAAATTGAGGCCGTTGTGACCTATTTACCGATTTAGTTCATACTATTCCTATTGGTTAATTAAAATGACCACGTATAATACCTATTTTCTTTGGACACGAATAATCTTCATCGGGTACGTAAAAGACGAAACGTTACAAAACCAAACATTAATGCATCAATCGGCCAGTAAGACGAAACAGTTCGGAAGCCAAATCATGATGCGTCTGCGGTAGGGCAGTAAGCTCAGATATCTTACACAAAACAGCCAAAACCTCATAATGTTGGATTATCCAAAAAATTGGCATCTTATGTATTATGCAGACCCTTGTGGTCTGATTATTTATCAACAACAATACTGACCTAGTGGTACTAATATGATACCAAATTCAGTGTTACTTATATAAGAATTTATTCTTGAGAAACCTTCATCGGGTGCACTCGATTCCAAACATAATAAAGAGCAGAACAACGAAACTTTAGAACAGTCAAAACAATATAAGGTCAGCTTTGCCTCAGAGAGTTTATCAAGCTTACTTTCGTTAGAATAACCAATCGTAAAACTGTCTGGGAGAAAACAAAAAAATAATACGATAAATATTTAAATCGGGTTTTCTGCGTGGATGTCGTAAAATATCACCCGTTCGACACAATGGGAAGCTGTGCTCACTCGCCAAAAAGAATTACACTGTGAAAACGTCAAGGTGAAGGTTGAACATGGTGGATGTGTTTTATTTTGGGAGCGGATAAATTTATACTTTTATCGTTTTACAGATATATTTTATCAGGAAAAATACACACACACACTGTCCTAAATCGATCAGATTATTATTGAACTAAAAACATTTCGTTTTAGAATGCGATTTACCTAGAAATTTGACTTCGACTGAAATTGGCTGAAATCTGATTACCACGCCGGGTGGCGGCCATTTAATATGGCGAACATTTAATTTGGTATAAGAATAATTTAGACAACCAGAACTTTATAAACGTTTTTATTATTATAATCGAAAATGCATTTGGCTTCTTCTTCAACATTTTTTTTCAACAATTTTCGACTTATTAATAAAGCTAGAAGGTGATTTGACATATGAATATTTTAACCTCTTTACTCTCTACGTACGGATTGCTGTAACATAGAGAATAATACATGGCAAAATCCGTATCACATGCCGTATCATCCCGAGATACCAATATCATCCCGAGGGCCTTTAGGCCCTAGGGATGATATTGGTCGAGGGTGATTCGGCATGTGATACGGATTTTGCCATGTTTTGTACGCTTTATCATATATTTAAACAGGAGAGTATATAGGAACTGTCCGAGAGACTCCGTATGGAATACGAACGATAAATCCGAGTAGGGGTGCGATAAAGGGGTGTGGTAAAGGGTAGACATGCGATAAAGGGGTGTGATAAAGGGTGCGCATCAAAGTTGAGCGATACGGATTAAACAGCAGGCTATTTATCAAATATTCAAAACTACTGTATTTACTACTAAATATATGATAAAACCTTTTAACCGCTTTATACAATCATCATAATCATCATATTAACACTTGTGGGACGTGCTAGTAACTCTGATATTTCCTGCTTGACCGTGTAGAATAGCGTGATATGACATAAACTTTTATGTGTTTATATTTGTTGTGTCCATAATATTTTAACAACATTATTTTAATAACAACTTCTTTTAAACAACTACTTTGTTTATGCAATTGCCAACAACCCGTCTATCTCTACTATAACCGATATATATATATATATATGTCGATATTGCAAATAAAAACCAGATAAGCAAACTTATAGCTGAGGAATCCAACTTAGATCCTAGTATCTATCAACCAGAAATATATCTTATCACAGATAGTAAAGGTAGCTATATCAAATCTGTGATACCAGGACGTTTTAGATCTTTTATACATATATTTTATGAGAAAGGTGCGACCATCCATTCAAACATCGTCAACACAGCTGTTCGAAGCATACAATTAGCCACAAATCCAATAGTACTCCTCTGGGTTGGTATATGTGAGATTTTTAAAAAAGACGGTAGATTTTCTGACATTATAAATCATCCATACCAATCTTTTGAACAAACCCTAACAGAATATAGGACTGTGAGAGACAACATACTCCTTGCCAATCCATCCGCCACCGTTATTGCAATTGAATGCCTCTATTTTTCAATATATAGGTGGAATCAATCTCTTGGATTTCAATGTAATACTCAAAGAACAGTGCGATACAAAGATACTGATTTCAAATTAAAATCTGCTATCGACTATTTTAACCAGCAATTATCTCACTTCAATAGAAACACATTTGTACCACATATTGCTCAAGACCAAACTATTTCATTAAAACAACGAAGGCGCCACAGAACACAAAATAATGTCAGCTTTTAAATCATTATTTGACGGCATGCATACACCCAAGACGTCCAATTTCACGCCTTTGGCTACACCGATTTGTAGCCAGAAACCTCAGAAACCACCGGCGAATAGGGGAAGCCCTATTCACCGTCTATTCTTTTCTACTTATTATATTTATGAATTGGATATTCCCATGAAATAACGTGCTACAATCATACATGTATCTGATTTATATATTTTTTTAATATTTGGAATATTCTAAAGGACATCGAATCTTAGTACAGAAATATTTTGATAGCTGCATAATCTATTATTAGTAGGAAATATTTTTAATTTATACGATTGAAGCTGTATTTGACCTATTTTTATGGTATAACCTACATCAGGCATATAAAACAAAAGTCAAAAAGTACAGCACTATGTGAATAAGGGAAGCCCTGTTCAATCCATAGTTCACCTTATTGGAAAACTCGATTACTGAAAATCTTCACATCCACAAAAGACAACGTAATTTTAAATCGATATTTTGATTAAAGAGCTTATTTAACGTACAAAGACAACTTATGTGAAAAAAGGAAGTCCTATTCACATACACCACTACTAAGATACAATCGTGCATATAGCCCGAGGAAATAGTTGTATAGTTATCGTCCGTGGAAAAATAATTTTTAGTTACAGTAAAGGACCTGTTAAACGTGCAAAGACAGTAGTTTTACTGCATAAAAGGAATCAATCATGAACAATATCTCTGAAATATCAATAGCAAACTACTCCTCAAGCAAAACAACTAGTCCTGATGAATGTAGACAAAAAACATTCACCTTAAATTTGGATAAAGCAGTCTCTAAGAAAATTCAAGCTACAAAAAGAGAAGTGCATTTGAATACGAACAAACAAAAGGTGGAGTAGTAGGCACTGCAGATGCAGTTACATTTGAACCAATTAAAAATGTCACCCCCACTACTTTAACACAGAAATAGCAAATAATCGTCACGTGAAAATAACAGATGATCAGGGCAGAAGGGGTCTCACTGTTAGTAAAATAATCAAAGTATTTGAGAAACCACAACATCCTTACACACTCACGCGTTCCTAAACAAACTGCACATTTTAAGTTAATGGAAAAGCAGTTAATATCTTCATAAAAGAAGACATACCAGAAATACATAAAATCATTAAAGAGGTAGTCCTAAATGGCAGCAAAGTGGACTTAAAGTCACTGAATGAGAAGCTAGAAAAAGAACTATATAAACTAACTGGTTTAGAACAAACACCTCAAATAATACTTATTTACCGACTGAACTAGTTCCAATGGACCAGCCTTGTAAAACCATACAAAACCAAGTGAAGCTAAGTGTAGTAAATGTAAGCGAAATGTACAAACAAGGGCAAAATTTTGTGATAGAGGTCAATATTGGATTCATTATAGATGCACAAAACTATCTGAGTCTGAAATACAAAATGCCGAAATGTTAACTGAAAATGACCATTACACATGTGAGCTCTGCCTAACAGATAATTAGACAAACACCATTAGAAGTCAAACTCAGCGAAAACAATAGCAAATGCAGTTATAGACTCTAATCATTCAGACAAGAATTACAATTGTCACGATATACTACAACCTCTATTAGATGAAGAATTACACAACGTTTGTAACATCTGCAACAAAATTATTGAGTTATAGGCTGCTCAGTTTGTACTCAACCATGTCATATGTTGTACTGTGCATCTTATGATGGTTTTGAATATACCTGCTCAAGCTGTGAAATAAACATTGATCTTGATGAACAAACAAAAGTCTGACAGCAGTGTCTGCAACAAAGGCAAGTGCCTCAAAACAAACTTTACAAAAACCAGGGTCTGACCTAATTCAGGAGAACTGTGTACTGACAAGCTCTATGACACCTATACCCATAAACTATACTAATGTCTCTGTGTGGGATGGATAGCCAAAACAAGCCTGTTGATCCTGGGACTACCGACCTAACTACTCACCAGCCAGACACAGATTTAAATCTCTCAAAGAAAAAAAGATCTAAAAATGAGTGACACAAAGCAGAGAGAACAAAAACTTGGGAAAAGAAAAGAACTAAAGATAAGAGAAAAACTGAACGAAGAAATGCAAAATGAAAGAGTATAGTTATAGTCTTACGTCACTCAACTCGAAATGAAAATCAATGAGCTAGAAAAATCAAATCAGATATTGCAAATAAAATGTGAACTTGTTAATCTCACAGGTGATAAACACAACCAACATGATCTAAACACAATACACATCAATGTTCATCAAAAGACATATTGAACAAACGGTTGCTATGTTACATGAGAAAGTATCAGGATTTATCCTACAACAGATGGATACCCAATTTGACAAAATCATCAACCAATTTAAT